GCGCTAAAGAGGTTTGGTATTGGTCACATGTATGTGGGTAGGACATTAGAACTTCTGGCGAATATTTTGACTACTCTTTCCTGTCCTGTCGCGGGAAGTTGTTTAGACTTTTATGCATTCTCGTATAATTTTGGAGGTTATTGCTTTTATAACATGTTTATTATATATTAAAATATTGGTTGTCGTTAGACCAGAATTTGAATTTAATCAGTTTATACACTCCGTTCTATCTTGAACCTCCGCCTGAAGAATCGAATTGTGATATTCCAGGCGAAGTGAAATTTCAGTGGAGTCTGCTTCTGTAGACCCGGAAAACATTGTCCAAAATAATATAACATATCATGATAAGTATATTTATTTTTATAATCAAATCATTGAGTATATATAGCAATCTTCTATATATATATATATAAAAGAGCTTAGTGTTAAGTGAGTGAGTGAGTGACTGACTGACAGATCATCGCCAAGACGAAACGGCTGAAGCTAGAAGCTTGAAATTTTGTGTGTGGGTTGTTGTTGGTGTGTAGGCGTGAGATAAGGCTGGGTTTTTGGAAATTCGAACTAGAAGGGTACGAAAAGTACTAAAATGTACCAAATATGGTACCCTTTGTATTAGGCGAACGGGAAGAGCTAGAATTCTGAAATTTGGAATGTGGGTCACTGATGGAAAGATAGAAAGCTGTACAAAATGGTTTTTGGAAATTCTACATATAAGTGTACTAAAAGTACTAAAAAGTACTAAATTTAGTTCCAATTGTATATATTTTGAACATATTGAACCTATATAGCTAGAATATTGAAATTTTATATGGAATACAGGTTGGGAAGTGGTGTTGATGTATGGAAATGCTTAAAGAAATGGTACTAAATTTGGTTTTATTTGCATTTAGTTGAGTGTATAAAGATGGAATCCGGAAGATCAGAATCAGGACTACTATTGGAGCACGAGATTGAAGTAGCTTTAAAAAATCGTACTTATGTGTACGAAAAGTACTAAATTTGGTGCAAGTTGGATTTAGGTGAACAGATAGAGCTGGAGTCTTCAAATTGTAAAAAATGACTGTTGAATGTAGGATTTAGGTCGTTACTTATTGGTACGAAAAGTACTATATGGTACCAAATTTAGTACAATTTGGGTTTTGCTTGAAAGGATAGAGCTGAAATCCCGAAATTAAGATTACCGTTGAAGATTGAGCTATATTTACATCTTTACACTAGATTTGGTAAAATTAGGATTTGGGTGAACGGAGAGAGCTGGAAACCTAAAATTTCGAATAATAGTTGCTGTTGGAATATAGAATTGAGATATGGAACTATAGTACTTATGTGTACTAAATGGTACTATATTTGGTACAACTTGATTATTTGAGAACGGATAGAGCTGGACTCCGGAATTTTGGAATTAAAATTACTGTTGGAGTGTAGGATTGACATAGGTTTGGAAATTTTTAATTATAGAAACGAAAAGTACTAAATGATAAATGCTGCAATTCTGAAATTTTTAATTAATATTACAGTTGGAGTGCAGAATTGAGATATGTCGGTAGTTTTGAAAATTCGTCAGCATGTGTACTAAAATGTTGGAGTGTAGGATGAGACATGGAGGTAGTTTTAAAAATGCGTAATTATCTATTTATATAAAAGGGCTTATATATATATATAAAAGATCATCGCGCAGACGAAACGGCTGAAGCTAGAAGCTTGAAATTTTGTGTGTGGGTTGTTGTTGGTGTGTAGGCGTGAGACAAGGCTGGATTTTTGGAAATTCGAACTAGAAGGGTACGAAAAGTACTAAAATGTACCAAATAGTATTAGGCGAACGGAAAGAGCTAAAATTCTGAAATTTGGAATGTGGATCACTGATGGAAAGTTAGAATGATATGCAAAAGGGTTTTTATAAGTGTACTAAAAGTACTAAATTTAGTTCTAATTGTATATATATTGAACATATATAGGTAGAATCTTGAAATTTTATATGGAATACAGGTTGGGAAGTGGTGTTAATGTATGGAAATGGTTTAAGATTTTCGTACTTATGTTTTTGTAAGAAGTACTAAGTGGTACTAAACTTGGTACTATTTGCTTTTAGTTGAGTGTATATAGATGGAATCCTGAAAATCGAAATTAGGACTACTGTTGTAATACAGGATTAAGGTACCTTTAAAAAATCGTACGTTGTGTACGAAAAGTACTTAATGGTACTAAAGTTGCATTTCGGTTCACAGATCTGGAGTCTTGAAATTGGGAATTAAAATGACTGTTGCAGTGTAGAATTGAGGTAGTTTTGTAAATTCGTACTTATTGGTACAAAAAGTACTAAATTGTACTAAATATAGTACAATTTGGATTTTGCTTAAACGAATGAGCTTAAACCTTGAAATTTGGAATTCTGATTACTGTTGAAGATTGAGCTATAGAGACATCTTTGGAAATTCGTATTTGTATGTACGAAAAGTACTAAACGGCACTAGATATGGTACAATTTGGATTCGGGTGAACGGAGAGAGCTGGAAACCTAAAATTTGGAATATTTCTTACTTTTAGAATATAGAATTAAGACATGGAAGCATAATACTTATGTGTACTAAATGGTACTATATTTGGTACAACTTGATTAAGTGTGAATGGAGAGAGTTGGACTCCATAATTTTGGAATTAAAATTACTTTTTGTGTGTAGGATTGACGGAGTTTAGGAAATTCTTAATTGTAGAAAAAAAGTACTAAACGGTACCAATGGATAGGGTTTAGATCCTGAAGTTTTGAATTAATATTACCGTTGGATTTCGGTAGTTTTGAAAATTTGTCATTAGATGTACTAAATGGTACTAAATTTGGTACAGTTTAGATCAGAGTGAATGGATGGAGATGAAAATTTTAAATTTGGAATGCAAATCACAGGATTAAGGTAGTATTGGAATTTCGCACTTTTGGATACGAGAAGCACTAAATGGTACTAAACAGAGTACAATTCGTTTTGTGTGAGCTGGAATCCTAAAAATTGGAATCAAAATTAAGGGTGGAGTGTAGGATTGAGATATCGAGGTAGTTTTGAAAATGCATGATTATGTGTACTAAATGGTACTAAGATTAGTACAATTTGGATTTAAATGAAAGGATAGAGATAGACATAGAAATAGAAAATGAAAGAAATGAAAATAAAATTACTGTTAGAGTACAGGATTGAGACAGTATTGAAAATTCAAACTTAAAGTACGAAAAGTACTAAATGGTACTAAATATGCTACAATTTGGATTTATGTGAACGGATAGGGCTGGGATCCTGAAATTTATGATTAAGATTACTGTTAGAGGGTAAGATTGACGTAGTTTTAGAAATTCTTACTTATGAGCATGATGATGGTACTAAATTTGGAACAATTTGGATTGGATTGGATCCTGAGATTTGGAATTTAGATTACTCTTGAAGTGTAGAATTGAGCTATGGAGATAACTTTGGAAACTCGAATTGATGTGTAGGAATAGTAAATAGAATAGCAAATGCACTAAATTTCGATTTCGGCAACGGAGAGAGCTGGAAACCTAAAGTTTGTAATGTGAGTCACTGACGGAGAGTTAGAAAGAAGTACCAAAGGGTTTTTTATACTAACTGGTACTAAATTTAGTGGTGGTGGTATGGAAGTAGTCTTGAAAATGTGTAATTATGTGTTCGAAAAGTACAAAGGATGAACCCTATTGAAATTGGGAAAAATCGGTTCAGATTTAGATATAGTTCCCATATACATTTTACTTCGATTTTAGGTAAATAGTGCACCAAACTCCCTATATATCGTTCGATTTACACGAAATTAGGCACAGCGAGCTGAATTAAGTCTAGAACGATGTGTGTTAAACATCATGAAAATCAGTTCCGATTTAGATATAGCTCCCATATATAACGTCGTCCAATTTAATGTAAATGGTGTACCAAAGTCCCTATATATCTTTCGACTTGCACGAAATTTTGCATGGGGTACTAATTTCCTTACTGGTTTTAATCTCTTTAATGGAAGTAAGAAATATTTCAGAAAATAGTGCTATATATTACAACAAATTTACAGTATTCACGATTCCACATGAAATATTTTTTGTATTACCTTTCCGCATACGAAGTAGCGGGCACTTTGCTAGTAATCAATATAAGAATCGTTAAAAATTTTCTATAATTCCTTAAAGAAATTATTTAAGTATGTAGGAGACATTTAGATGCTTTTACACTGTACCACCCTTGAAGAAGTTGTCGCTATTATTTCCTCAAGAAAACATTTGCGAAGACAAGAAGTGTGACTTAGATTTACCTTTGATAGACAATGATATCTATCAGTGTACCGCCTCTTTTGTCGTTTTCGTATCGTATTTAGTCGTATGATTGCCACCGAATAGTAATGGCATACTAACACACTCACACAATATTACACTAACAATAGGCCACATACATACATCTCGAATGCGAAATAAGTAAAAAGAAACAAATAAAACAAAATACACAATCTGTTTCATATCTCACGTAAAATATAAGGTAATTTGTGGAAATTTGATGTTTATCGTTAAATGGTTTTTTATTCTCAGCACAAGGCCTACGACGAACCAACATGCATATGCTGTTGGTAAAAAACGACTGACAGTGGGTGTCACCCAAACACCTTCATCTGGTGTTAACCAAACAATGCAATGTTAGCATCTGTTAGCTAATCGTTAATACAATACAATGAAGCCAATGAAGAAAATACGCTCGCAATAATAACCATTTTGCCAAGCATAAAAATTACACTGCCTTCTTGTCATTTCCTTGGAAACTATGCGATTGCTTAGGTGTGGACTCATTAAGGCAAATATGCTATTAAAATCCTAATGAAAATATTAATTGAAATCGATTCACACATCCGTACAATGTAATGAACGCACATTCAAGTCAATATTCTTTCGACATGGCTAATTATGTACGTAGGTACATACATACACACACAGATGCTTATATATCTGCACAAACTCACGCACTTACCTTAATAGCTTCACATGTCGAACAGTCAGGTTTTTGTGGTTTGCCGTTGGCGGTGTTGCCGTTATCAAACCCTGCAGCTTCGATTGAGACTCCTTGTCGTTGTGTGATTGCCAATAAGAGATGCCACAATACGAATAGCGGAATTTTCAAAACCAATGTGTAGAACAAAGTCACAGCGACCAGAGTGCCTTCTCCCAGCGATTTAATTATTTCATTTAGCATTTTAAATTGTAATTCATTTTCTAAATTTTTAAATTTTGTTTCCCTGTATTTTTATTATTTTAAATTTTCTTGATAGTAATTTCATTGTGAATTGAAGTACATAATTAGGTTTGCATGTGTTACTTTGTTTTTGTTCACCTGTTCTTGATGATACTCAAACTTTCAATTTAAATTCAATTTCGAAAGTTAAACCAGGAACACAGATTTGTGAAAGTGTTGCTCATGGCCATGTTTACCTAGCGTACATACTTACTGTAATTATAGTAATAAATTATGTAAATTCCTCGATAATTTACAATTTATTTTTATATAAATTTTTAATTTGCTATTTAATACAAAGCGTTGAACATAAATCAAGTTCGAAGATTTGGAATATAGGTACAAATTTTATAATATCATACGAACCGACTATTCGATTTGAACCAAACAATCTAACATTTATAGGGTTGGGAGATCGAACTTATCGGCCCACTTCCTGTCAAAATTTTTGAAAATTTAATTTAAAGTGAACGGAATATTTAAATTTCATCGAAAACTTATTATTTAAAACAAGCAAAGATCAAGTCCGATGAAGAGACTCATCGGGCAAGATTTTAACAACTTTTAACTTTAATTTGAAGCGAATGGATTTACCAATTTGATGCATTGGTTGCACATCGCAATATTTTACCACCCCTTCATAGATATATAGATAGTCGACTATTTGATAAAAACATATACCATATATAAAGCGAATAATAAAACCTGTGTGTAATAAGTATAAAAAAATCCAGAAATTATGCACTACAGCTTAACGATTTAAAAAGGTAACATACATGTTTCCCGCTTTATTTTCGGTATGTTGATGTTTTGAACACAACTTACTACCACATAATTTTCTTAGTTTGTTCTTCAGTTGACCTTAATGATAGAATTTTGCAAAGAAATAATCTTCGTATATTAGTTTTCTCTGCTATGCATATTTTTGACACCGAATACAATGACCAACTATTTTAATTATTTTCAAAATTTTTTTTTCAAAAAAAAAAAAAAAAAAAAATAAATAAATAAATAAATAGAAAAATTCTACCCGAACTCCCATATAGTTTCGTCCGATTTTCATTAAATGAAGCACCAAAGCTCCAAAATATGGCGATTGGCACAACATTTAGCACAAGTTTCGCTGACATCGGTTCAGATTTAGATATAGCTCTCATATACAGTTTCATCAGATTTTCAGTTGATGGTGCACCAAAGACCCAAAGATAGGCCGATTGCCACAACATTTTGCGCAACGTACTGAATTAGGTATAGGCTGGCGTGCGCTAAGTTTTGTTGAAATCGGTTCTGATTTAGATATAGCTCCATATATATTGTTTCGTCCGAATTTCAATTAAGACCCAAAATATGGCCGATTGGCACACATTTTTGCAAAACATACTAAAGTTTGTATTACTGTGTGGAAAGTTTCGCTCAAATCGGTTCAGATTTAGATATAGCTGTTATATAGTTTCGTCCGATTTTCAGTAATTGGTACACCAAAGACCCAGAATAAAGACGATTTATACAATATTTTAAACAACGCCCTGAAGTTAGTATAGCTTAACGTGTGGCAAGTTTCGTTGAAATCGGCTCAGATTTGGTTATAGCTACCATATATATTTTCGTCAGAGTGAGTCGAAATTTTCTACAACGTACAAAATTGAGCATAGAATGACGTAAATGCGTATTTTAGAAATGCAGATATAGCCGACTTCACGTTAACTGGGCTCCAAAAAATTAAGGAATGTCCGATTTGCTTTAAATTGATTTACATCATTTTGTCCCATTGCAAACAAACGACTCTATATTGGCCGAAATGAAAAAATTAGTATGTGTTGCAGAAAGACATGTTTATGAATTGATCTAAGTCGGTTCACATTTAGATAAAGATCACATTTTTAAATTCATCCAATTAATGTACACAGTTAATGGCCCTTAAAAAATGCGAAGTCTATAAGGATGCATCTGTTGCAAGTACTCAAAGTGGTGAAGGGTATCATAAAATCCGCTCCGTCCGATTTTACTACTTTTCTTACTGTTTATACCCTTCACCAAACTGTGGTACAGGGTATTATGTCTTTGTGAATATGTTTGTAACAGGCAAAAATAATCGAGATAGAATTACAGGCCGCATTTATGATCCGAATTCGATGATATTTGGCACAGCTCATTTGTTTAGCCCAAGGACGAACCCTATTGAAATTGTGAAAAATCGGTTCAGATTTAGATATAGCTCCCATCTATATTTTCGTACGATTTAAGGTAAATGGTGTATTAAAGTCCCTATATCACGAATTCCATGTCACGCACTGTTACAGCGTGCGAAATATAATCGTTTGTTTAGTTAAGAAAAATTTGTTTCTGAAATTTCTTTCGCAATTTTTATTAAATAGTTTTACGCCTTTTACAATATCTGCTAATTTTTTTATGAATATATTTGTAAATGTCGGAGATATTAAGAAAAAATTAGCGTACGCACGCGCTACAAAATTTTCCCTTTAAAAATTGGATATCAGTTTCGATATTAAATTTCTGCGAATTGGCTGGAGATAAAATTGCGAATTTTTTTTACAGCTATAATGGGTTATTCAAGATTATATTGACATTCAATTTTTTTGAGAAAAAAATTCTAAGATAAACTTTTTTAACTTTGAACACCGTCACGCACATGTTACACTCGTAACGCACTGTTACACACATATGTACTAAAAAATTAAATTCAAAACATAATGTTTTAAAAATGCTAGTTCTTATACCCCACACAACTATGTTGTCAGGATATTATAGCTTTGTGTGGCCCCAAGACCTTTGGTAAATCATTATGCAGTTATGGACGACATTTTTGCCTGTAAATTCGGTTCTAAAGCAACTTATTGAGGAAGAATGTAACATGTGCGTGACGGATACAAATTTGTTCGATGGAGATAGAAGACAAACTTTGTTTTATTTGAATTTGTCATCTCAAGATCCACACATAACAGCATTATCAAAAAAAAATTTATCATATTAGGTTCTGTATAGAAACATATGCTAATTTTGTCACGCACGCGTTACATATTTTCTTACACTATTTAACTGCACTTACCACGGGATTCTCTTGGTATATGTATAGGTTTATATATATGTAATTCTTAGTAAGATATTACTTTATTTGAATTTAATATTTATTATTGATATTGTTTTAGCTAACAGCGTCCACACTTACGACAAATTACACTCTAAAACTAATAAAAATATGCCCAAGTTACTCTCCACGCGAAAATGGTACAACGAAAAGAAAAACAACGGTTATTTTTCAAAATTCAACTAAAAATATATTGTCCGGATTGCAAAGAATATTTCCTATATAATTTCATATCTCTCTTAACGAATCGATTTTTCACCTGTGTGGTTGACCTTTTTGTGGAATTCGTGATATATCTTTCGATTTCCACAAAATTTGGCACAGCGTAATGAATAAGGTCTAGAATAACATGTGCAAAGTTTCGTGAAAATCGGTTCAGAATTTTAAATAGCTCCCATATATATTTTAGTCCGACTTTATGTAATTGGTGCACCAAACTCCCAATATATTTTTCGATTTGCACGGATGTTGGTATAGGGTACTGAATTAAGTCTAGAATGATTTTGGTAGACTATATATGGACGTATATCCAAATATAATTTCAACGAAACTTGTCACAGGTTAGGTTAGACTAATTTATGCACGTCTTATTCCTAATGGACATATTTTGGATCCTTGGACGAAACTTTATGGGTGCTATATCTAAATATGGACGAATTCCAACAAAACTTGATATAAGTTTGGCTAACGAATGATATATAGGGACTTAGGTGCACCATTTACATAAAATCGGTCAAACATATATATGGGAGCTATCTAATCCTGAACCGATTTTCAAGAAATTGTACACACATCATTCTAGACTCTATTCAGTACGCTATGCCAAATTTCGTGCAAATCGGAATATATATGGGGACTTTGGTGCCTCATTTACCTTAAATCGGTCGAAAATATATATAGGAGCTATATTTAAATCTGAACCGATTTTCAAGAAATTTTACACACATTATTCTACACTCAATTGAGTACGCTATGCCAAATTTCGTTGAAATCTAAAGATATATAGGGACTTTGGTGAACCATTTCATTAAATCGGTCGAAGATATATCGACGCCTCCGAACCATAGAAAGCCATGCTAAGTCTGAAAAGTGAGTTTTTCAGTAGAAGCTTTCAAAGTATGGAAGTTTCTTTAATCGTACGTGCCATGCAAAGTACATTTTTGTTTATAACTTTGGTTTGGATTGGCCGATACTTACCAAAATTTCAGTGAATGTAAATTAGGGACAGTAGTATCTAAAAACGTAAACTTTAAAACATGCTAAGTCGACTTAGCTTACTATGATTCGGAGTCGTCGATATATTGGAGCTAAATCTAAATCTGAACCGATTTTCAAGAAATTTTACACACATCATTCTACACTCAATTCAGTACGCTATATGGGAGCTATATCTAAATCTGAACCGATTTTTCCCAAATTTAATAGGGGTTGTCCTTGGACCAAACAGACGAGCTGTGCCAAATTTCATACAATTCGGATCATAAATGCGACCTGTACTTTGTTTACAATTTAACATGGACAGGCGGACGGACAGACGGACATGCATAAATCGACTCAGAAAGTGATTCTATGCAGATTCTCAAAAGCAACCATGTGTCTATCTCGTTTCCATTTGCCTGTTACAAACATATGCACAAAGACATAATACCCTGTAACACAGTGTGGTGAAGGGTAAAAATATGGCACACATTTTTACTTGTAGTGTTGTATAACTGCTCCTGTGAAGAGATTTATCTATATGGGTCCATATATTATCATAGCCCTCATATGTAGTTGTTTTTTTGTTCAACGGAAGTGGCTGATATAATTTATACTTTGTCGTAGCGCCCATTTTCGGTATTTTGATTGTCCAAAT